AGAGACCCCAAACTAACTACCAAAACGACGACGATGATGATGATCGAGTGTCTGTCACTTTCCGCTCCTCTGCTGTACGATGGCGACGATGACGATCAACTGTAGTATCTGTTCCAATCAGTTTGAAAAATGGCGCACGCACTTTCACGCGCACCAGAGAGATAGAGAGAGACACACCCCAAACTAACTAACTATCCCGCCCCGCAAAACGACGACGACGATGACGATCAAGTGTAGTATCTGTTCCGATTAGTTTGATATCTGACCCGTGGACCATCAGGAGACCTTTATTTAAAAAAAAAAAACACGGAAAGACAGCGTGCAGCAGAGAGAGAGAGAGAGAGAGAGAGAGAGAAAGAGAGAGAGAGAGACCCCAAACTAACTACCTGGCTCATCCCCCACGACTTCTCTGCTCCTGCCGCCCTCCTCCGCCCTCTTCCCCCGCTTCTTCACTCTCCCCGCTCCTCCGCCACACCTCCACAGCTCGGGGAAAAAAGGACGTGCCTCCCCTCCGGTCTTTCTCTATGTGCCTGGCGCCAAGCTTGCCCAGGAAGGTACATGAGGCCAACGGGGATTGAACCCAAGACCTTATGAATGCCACTTGCGTGCCATACCAACCAAGGTACGCTGCTGGATTTCAGGCTAGATTCGGGGGAAGACAGTAGGGGTAGACATAGCATGCCGATTTCCAAAGCCAGCTGTTGCAGAACCTCCTTAACTAGCAGGAGGTGCTGCACACACATTGACATGGCTGTTAGGGCACAACCCCCCATTCATGAGTCTAAAAACACCCCAGACCACACCACCCCAAAACCCACCGAACCCACCACCCTGACTCATTTCTCCCATTTCCCGCTCAATCCCTTGCCAGCGAAGCCGCAACAGGTACCCTTGTACAAGATATACACCCTTACTATAAAGTATATACAGTATTATACACCCATGGTATGAAGTATATACGCCACGATTTCCAAACTTTGAATTTCCATAGGCATGATTTTTTGATTAGGAAGTCATGAAAAATGAAGCCATAAAGAAGTCAGAGAAGGTATGCAGTGTTGCAATACCACCACAAAATTTTGCTTGACAGTCGTGACTGTTAAACCACCACCACCTTGCAGCATATGAGTGGGAGACTAAGTCTTAAATATAACCTGTAGGTCCTATACTGGATTCTCAGGAGGCTTGCTGAAATCGGGTGCCACCTGACCAAAATGGGTGGCGGTGCCAGCCAAAACAAAAGAAAAACAGTCGCGCTGGCGCTTGAGCAAAAGCTTGGTGCGCAATTGCACTCCGCTGTGCGGCAATGGTTTAAGACAATGAAAAGACACAGCTGAATTGAGCGTTTCCCAACGTTCTGGATCAGTCCCAATGTCTGAATGGTATCTGTTCGTCATTCGGGGTCTGGATTGAGATGTTTCCAGCTGGAGGTCTAGCATGACCCTGCTTTCTGCTGTTGACACCAGCTGAGTTTGCAGAGACACGTGAGTCGAGAGCAGGGTGGATGGTAAGGGGAAAATCAAGAAGTGAGAAGGGTGCAAATTTGTCATATGTCTGTGTGGTGGTGTTGCATATATATGAAACGTCATACAGTTGCTCGCCAGTATGCAACTGTACTTCAAACAATCCCCTCTCAGGGGACGACCATGCAGTACCACATGAAGATGGCTCTCATATACCTCTCAGAAACGGGTGTGACATGCAACAATCTTGGAGAACACAATGGGAAGGTCCGAAGGGTGAAAAGCAGGAAAAACAGGAGTCTGATGCAAACCAAAGCCAAAAAAGAAGAACAAGTACGTTGGACTTGCACCGGCTCCTCAGGTGGCTGAACCCTCGACTATCTGCAGAATTCGCACATTGATGCTTTGAGTTCGATTCCTTTGTCCACTTCGTTAGTGGACAGCCAGTGGGTGACATCACAAACACCAAGGCAAGGGCAAGGCAACAAGGCACTGAATGGCAAGCAACAGGAAGGTATGTAGGCTGGAAAGCAGCAGGCATCTCCATGAGGAGAAAGGTAACAAGGCAGCAAAGCAACAAGGAGGCAGCAAGGGACACAGAGGGGCAAAGTGGATGCAGCACGGCGTCTCGATGAGGAGAAAGGCAGCAAGGCAACAAGGAGGCAGCAAGGGACACAGAGGGGCAAAGCGGATGGGCTGTCAGACAGGAAAGCAGCACACACTTTTAGTGGGGCAGCACCTACAAGCCAACCACACAACACAATCGGAAGAGTAGCCAGGTAGCAAGGTAGCGTTGGCAAGGCAGTCCACTCATACGGCGCAGACTAAGTAGATCATCACCCACTCACACCATAAGGAGAACTCTACAGACTATTGGTTCACACCACCATAGGACCCATGGAATGTCCTCGACAATGTCTGTCACTGACCCTGGAAACACACAGATACAGCCATCCCGAACAGCAGCAGCGCCCCTAATCGTGTTGCAAGCAGTGCCATGCACTGGATACATACAGATGCTGGCTTCTCGGCACATCTTAATGGTATTGCAGCACTTGGACGCTTGAAAACGTGCAGGAAAAGGCTAGACCATGCAGCAAGTGGACAACAACACAAAAAGAATGCACTCAAGAGGAAAAGGAATAAGGAAGAGAGATTATGATTGTGTGTGTGTGTGTGTGTGTTGAAATAGACTGTTGCTGAGGGAAGGGTTCATCTGGGGCTTATCTATTGTACCATGTGTTTGTCATCGTGACTATGTTGGTCTGAGTGCAGTTCTCGATAAAGATGTATTTCTGTTTGCGACAGGTTTGACAGAACGCATGTGCTTTCCCCTGCCTGACTGGCCATGGATGTTAACGGAAGGACATTTTTTTTGTTGGTTTGTTTGTTTTCAAATAAACTGTTGCTGGATGAAATGGTCACATCTCCGCTCCTCTATTGTGCACCATATTTTTGTCATCGTGACTATGTTGAGCTGAGTCCTGTTCTTGCATAGTTATACTTCTGGTCACGATAGATTTGCCATGCAACGAATGTCCGGGCGATGCGTATGGGTTGAGCTGTTGGACGTTAATGGAAAGAGCTTTTTGTCTTGGATTGCAGGCTCAGGAAGAGAAATGCATCGAGGGCGAGCTGACAACATGTATGCCAGGCTTTGTGCGCGAGGACGAGCGTCCAGGGCAGGAGAGAAATGTCGTGTTTTTCCAGAATGTCCTTAAAAAACATGCCCACTGGAGGTACTTGAAGTTGGAGAGAACTCTTCACTGGCTGGTGAACCAACGTAACTCTGCATTGGAGAAGCTATTCAAGGAAGGGGATGGCTTCAATGTCCCTCAGTCTCTTCGCATGGAAGGTTACGAGGAACTTTGGAAGGAAATTGGTCTTGAACAATGCAAGGTAATAATGGTAGTCCCCTAGGCTACCAGCCGGCCCGGTCTTGCAAGGACCAAAGGTCCCAGCGAAAAAAGAAAAAGAAAACCCAAGAAATCTGGAAAAAAATTATGCTATGAAAGTTACGCAGAAAAATAAACTGAACAACTTTTGCCTCAGGGTCATATGCGAATTCTTTAAGAAAGTTAAATAAAATTACTAAAAAATATATAATTATCATAATATTTCAATTATATTTGACGTTATTATTTGTTTATTTATTTATTTTTGGCCTGGCCGTGGTCCTGGGCCACTTTGGTAGCCTAGGTTGTCCCCGTAAACCACAAGGACCTAACAGACTTATGCGGAAAAATAAACTGAACAACTTTTGCCTCAGGGTCATATGCGAATTCTTTACGAAAGTTAAATAAAATTATTAAAATATATATAATTATCATAATATTTCAATTATATTTGACGTTATTATTTGTTTATTTATTTATTTTTGGCCTGGCCGTGGTCCCGGGCCACTTTGGTAGCCTAGGTTGTCCCCTTAAACCACAAGGACCTAACAGACTCAGCTTGCGTCTCGTTTGACCCGTACGCTTTTTAATGGACAAAGTCGAAACCTGTGCAATCACTGCAATGTCCTGGGCAAGGTCGTACGCAGCCCCCCGCATAAAATAAAAAAGCAACAGATAATTCAATTAATCGGGAAACAAATGTCTAAGGATCAGTGTTCAGATCCCAGCAGTCTTGAACAATGCAAGGTAATATGGTTCTCCCCTTAAACCACGAGGACATAACAAGCCTCAGCTTCCCAATGCTCGATTTTGCCAACCTGTGCCAACCTGTCGGCTTTCAAATCATTGTGGGATCAGGGCTTGGCAGTGGCAGCCATGTGCGTCTCATTTGACCTGTACTTTTTTGACGGGTAAAATAGGCACCTGTGCAAGGTCTTGGCCAAGGTCCTAGACTCCTAGGCGGCCCCAGCATAAAATGAAGAACCAACAAATAAAATTGAAACAATTCAATAAATGCGGAAACAAATGTCTAAGGAGTCTGCCTCCTCCCCCTCTCATCTTCTTCTTCTTCTTCTCTCCTCCTCCTCTTCCTCCGCTCTTCTTCTCCTTCTTCTTCTTCTCTCCTCCTCCTCTTCCTCCGCTCATCTTCTTCTGCTTCTTCTCCCGTCCTCCTCCTCCCCATCATCTTCTTCTTCTTCTTCTTCTTCTTGTCGGTTATTCGACAGGCCATTTTCGTCATACCCTACCGCAGCCATACTTCGTCCCCATCTTCTTCTTCTTCTTCTTGATCATTCGGCAGGTCACGTGAGATACGACAGGCCATCCACCTATCCCCCTCTTCCCCCCCCTTCTCGACTTTTCTTCTTCTTCTTCTTCTTCTTCTTCTCCTCGCCGTCTCGCCATCCCCTCGTCCCCCTCGCGTTTTCATCTTCCTCCATAACCCTTCTTCTTCTCCGTCTTCCCCTTCTCCCCCACTCGTTTTCTTTCTCCTCCTCTACTTCTTCTTCTCGTTCTTCTTCTCCTTCTTGTTCTTCTTCTTGTAGAAGGCCACGTGAGACATGACCGGTTAAAAAAAAAAAAAAGAACGAAGCTCGTCCTCCTCCCCCTCCTCCTCCTCTCATCTTCTTCTTGTTCTCCTTCTCTCCTCGTCTTTTTCTTCCCCTCCTTCCCCTCACGTTTTCATCTTTCCCCTCGACCTTTCTTGATCTTCTTCTTCTTCCCCTCCTCACCTCTCTTCTTCTTCTTCTTCTTCTTATGCTCCATTCGCTAGATCTTCTTCTCTCCTCTTCTTCTTCTTCACTGCCTTTCTCCGTACCCTACTGCCGCCGCCGTACCCTACCACAGCCGTACCCCGTCGCCGCCATACCCTACCGCAGCCATACTTCTTCCCCATAACAGCAATTGTCAAAACGGACATTTTACATTTTTTGAACGAAATTGAAACCTACTTATTTGGCCCAAACAAAATCACCTTGTATCTCCTGAGGGTCCATTTGGACTTCACTGAAGTTCAGGTACATCCAAGGGGGACCCCACACAGCTAAAACGGTGACATTTCAGGGCCAAATAAGTGGGTGCTAATTTCGTTCAAAAAGTATAAAATGTCCGTTTTAACGAAATCGCTGTGTTTCGTTCAAAAAATATAAAATGTCCGTTTTAACGAAATCGCTGTTCCATCTTCTTCTTGTTCTTCTTGTTCTTCTTCTTCTTCTTCTTCTTCTTCTTCTTCTTCTTCTTGATCATTCGGTAGGTCACGTGAGATACGACAGGCCTTTCACCTCCCCCCCCCTTCTCGGCTCATCTTCTTCTTCTTCTTCTCTCCTCCTCCTCTCGTCTTCTTCCTCTTCCCCTCGTCCCCCTCGCATTTTCATCTTCCTCCATAACTTTTCTTCTTCTTCTTCCCCCCCTTCCCTACTCCCTCCCTGCCTTTCTCCATCCTCCCTCCGTCCCATCTTGCCATCCTCCATCATCCATCATCGATCCGTCACTCCCTCCATCCCATCTCGCGATTCGCCATCCTCCATCATCCATCCCTCCCTCCCTCCATCCCATCTCGCCATCCTCCATCATACATCCATCCATCGATCACTACCTCCATCCCTCCATCTATCCCATCTCGCCATTCCTCCCTGTGTGTGTGTGTGTGTGTGTGAGAGAGAGAGAGAGGTGTTCGAATGTGGATCGATATTGGCCATATGCAGTTGATATTCTGCCGAAGAACTCAAAGATTTCCTGCAAGTTGTCGGTCTGTAAGTCTTCTTCTTCTTCTCGTCAGTCTTCATTTTTGTCAGTCTTGTTCTTCTTCAGAATGAAAGGGTCAATAACATGCATGCAGCAGACATCAGAGCGGCAGGCAACAAACATGCAGAGCCCCCAACCAGTACATATCAGAAGACATTCATTCAGCATACAGCAGGCAACATACATGCAGAGCCCCCAACCCCAGCACCCCCCACCCAGACCCCCCCCCCCCCCCCAAATCCACAATTTTATTGCAGATTTGGGGTCCTCTCGCTGAGAGCAGAACAACCCCGGTTTCAAGAAAAAAATAAAAAAATTCTGGGCGGTTTTTTATCCTGCCCAGTTTACCCGGGTGCCCACCCCGGGCCCAACTCAACAAGAATCTTTTTTCTGTATCTATTTCTATACCATAGACTATATGATTCTAGAAAAACAAGAAAATTCATTCTGAAATAATCAAATCAATACAAATAGAAAAAGGAGGATTGCCGGGATGGGTGACCAGGTCTGGTTTTTGGCATTTTCCTCGCGGGCCTAACCATTTTAATCATTCAAGTTTTTTTGGTGTTTTTTAACTTTTCTAAGTTATCTTGTAAGAGTTTCTCCTTCTACAGTGGCGTCTATGCTAGATGATTGTTTTCATATTTTTCATTCAAAGGGATGAGAATTACGATCGTGCAAATTTTTCTGTGTTGGAGATAAGGACCACTCTAAAAACAGTTTAAACTTTAAAGTTTAAACTGTAAAACACTAGTCGAATTAACTACTGATGTATGAACCGTATAGTACTGTTTTCTTCCACAGATCTACCACACGATGTGCACCGTCCACCTGCATCTGGACTGGTAGAGAGCACACGCAGGTGTGATGAGTCGATTGAAGGCGTGGAAGCATCTGCAGTCATGTCAAATTTTTCAGCATTTTGGAGACAAGGAATGCAGCATCCAAAACACTTTTCAATCAGTAACTGGTGTACAAAGTGTGCTTGTTGCTTCTGCAGATCTACAAAAGATTTCCTTCTTCAGATCTACAAAAGATTTGCTTCTGCATATCTACAAAAGATTTGCTTCTGCAGATCTACAAAAGATTTCCACTGTCTACCTGCATTTTTGATGGCTGTTTGCATAGTTGCGGCGCACCAGTGCGCACTGCGGTGCGCACTGCACTGTGCGCTGGAATGACAGCGCGCGCACTGTGCGCCGTGCGCTGTGCGCGGTCCGTGCACTGCCCGATAAAAGAAAAAAAAAAGATAGGCCCCAACTTCCCCCAGAGAGAGAGAGAGAGAGAGAGAGAGAGAGGGTCCCATTTATGTCAATTCAAGGGCCCCTGCAGGTACCTCGAATGGCTCCTACAACGCATGTGGAGCCATTGAGGGTCGCTGCTTCAATGAGAAGGATGGCCTCGTCCTGCATGAAAGACATGGGGGCAGACCACCAATATATGCTGTGGATTCGAGTTCAGGGCTGTAGCTCGGCAGTTATGGGTCACCAGTTCAGCTAGACCCTGTTCGTGTCTCCATGTGATTCTCAGGGCCTCCCTCCACCAGTCACCAAATGTATATATTATATAAATGATATTAGTAGAATGAATCTTCTGCTAAAACATGGAACCATACACCGCCATATGCTATGTCTTTTGTGCATTTGGTGAGTAGTGGAGCAGGCCGCACTGGACGTATTCGTAAGAAAATGTAAACAAGAAAACGAGAGAGCCACGGGCATCTTCATCCTAACCCATAACTGCCGGCATGCAGACGTGAACGCCAATCGTCAGCATATATTGGTGGTCGGCTAGCCGTAGAAAACACAACTTGTGATCTCTGCGAAGCTTCGTGGGCCAGGTCGTATCAGGCGACCACCCCTTCTTGCGAACTTACCCCACCACTGTGTGGGATTTGCAGAAGGGAGCGGGAAGAACATCTTTCATACCCCGCCTAAAGAAAAAGATGGAATGAGCCCTATTTTTTAAAGTATTTCATGCTTCACCATTTTGAAACTTTTGGGGGAACGGTCTGCGAAAATCGAAATTTGGCAGCCCTTACCCAAAAGAAAATTTCGAGCTGGGGGCGCGGCCGGCCGGTTTCCGAGCTCGCGCGGTGAGTTTAACATTTTTGCCGAGTTGGAGGCCCTAAGAAATTACGAAACCCCTACTCTCTTGTTTTTTTTGTGGACCTAATTCTTACAGTGCGCTGCGCTTCGGTGCGCTGCGCTTCGGTGCGCTGCGCACGGTGTGCAATTCGTGCGCAAATCCGCGCACCGAGGTGCACCGCAACTATGGTTCTTTGTTTTTGATGTACAGGGTCTGGGTCGTGTGGATTGGTTGTGGGCTCTCAAATCAGATGTTTGTTTCTCTGTTTGCTTCTGTTCTTGTGTTGCGGTTCATTGCAGACTGGAAAGGGTGGAATATCACCTCATCGTTGGAAATGTCTGCAAGGCAGTTACAACTTATTGCTGGATCTAACGGCGCTGAAGATTGCACTATTGACACCCCTGGAGGCTTCGAAACGTGTCTACTTGTCAAAATCCACCTTGGTGGTCGTTCCTCCTAATCTTGTGCAGCACTGGCAGCACCAGATCGAGAGGCATACAAAAGCGAATTCTCTCAGAGTTTACGTGTGGGATGGATCGGACAAGAAGCTACCTCCTGCACATGCGCTTGCTTGGGATTTTGATCTGGTGAGTTGTATGATTGTGGACTGGTCGAGGTTCTCCCAATCCCAGATGGAACAACATCCCAGGTGTGCCGGTACGCATTTGCGCTGTGTGGCAAAGCCCTGATCTCCACTCGCCTGCTGGACTCTGTCTGACATAGGCGGATGCAGAATGGCGTAAAAAACAATGTTAACTGTGTGAATGCCCTGTTCGATAAATTGGAGCTTAATGTGTCTTCCATTTTTCTCAGAGGCCCTGGATGAAGTGATTTGAGTGCTCTTGTGAACCACCAGTCCCAAATGTTCTTCTATACAAGGACAGCGCATTTTGCGAAGGGGAGAGGGACAGTAGGAGGAAGGAGGAGATGGGACTGCTGGCCCTCTCATTCAAAAGGCGGATATTGTCACACTCACTTTCTGGACCGAATGGCCTAAAAAAGAAAAAGAATGTTTAGCAAAAGGCCATTCCGAAAACAAAAGGAAAACTGTGAGAAAAGAACAAGAACCTGCGACTGGCATGCGGCTGTCGACAACGGGCATTCCATGCATATGAAAAGAGAGAGAGAGAGGGAGAGAGAGAGAGAGAGAGAGAGAGAGAGAGAGAGAGAGAGAGGTGGGCATGTGCATGCACCCGTGTGTTTGGGCTGAGGAAACAACTTGGAAAGTAATGAACAAGTGGGCCTGTGGTGACTATGCACGCAGCACAATGCACCGACCCCAAAAAAGAAAAGAACAACTCACCTGGGAAGGACACGCAGAGAGACCCTCACCAAAGCCACAACCCAGGCCAAGTCCGTATACAAAAGAAAAGCTCAGAACTGAGGTTCCATGGGAGCTGGTGGTGGAGGAGGGGCGAGAGAAGGAGCCCATCGCTGAGCAACTCGGGCAGGGGGAGGAGGACGAGGGGCAAGAGAAGCAGGAGGTGCTGGAGCAGAACAGAGAGTGCCAGGAGGAAGGGGGCGGCGAGTAAGGGCAAACGAGTGCTCTTAGGGAATGCCGAGCAGGTACAATTGCTAAGGTACACTTGCGAAGTTCCTGTGCACCCTCAATACATAGTTGGGTCAAGTGGCCGTAATCTCGACAAATACAATTCAGCCAAACTGGCCTCTCAGAATCTCAAAAAAATAGGAAAAGGAAAAAAATCTTAGATCTTAAACTGCCAAGGCGGAGCAGAACTGCGCGCCAAGCTTTGGCCAAAGTGTCAGTGCAGTGTTTTTTGTTTTGGCTGGCGCCGCCAGCCTTTTTGGTTCGGTAGCGCCAGGCCTCCACCGGCGTCCAAAGAATGCAGTATAGGTTACATTCACAACTTTGCCTTCCAGCCTGAAAGGTAGTGGTGGTTTAAGGGAGGGGGGAAGCTCAGATCTCCACTCCCCCCTGGCACGATCGGGGTAGTTTTCTTCCGTTGGGAATTATTAGAATAAAGGGAGAAGCCATCATCTTCTCATCTCTCTCTCTCTCTCTGTGTGTGTGTGTGTGTGTGTGTGTGTGTGTGTGTGTGTGTGTGCGTGTGTGTGTGTGCGTGTGTGTGTGACACACACACACAGAGCAAGAGCGGGATCATGAGGATTCAAGCTGATGAACGCATCACTCCAGTCTTGTGGTCCCCTCGGCTCGGCCGGTCTTCCATTCCCATATTTGAAGAGCTCACCACGGCACTGAGAGTTAGCATTACCCTTGAGAGAGAAAAGTGGTTGTTTTCACATGCACCAACCCTGTACTCATCCCTGTGCATGTGTGTGTGTGCGTGTGTGCGAGAGAGAGACATCTCGTTCATACGACCTTCTGACCTTCTCCTTCCCTTCGCGCAACCACCTCCTTCTCGTCCACCCTCTTCTGCACCGTCAGCTCCTCCTCCTCCCCCTCCTCCTCTGCCACGTTTTTGTCTTCCTCTCCCTTGGGGTTGTGCGACTGCCTTCTCACCCTCGCACAACCTACTCCTGCTATCTTGTTCCCCTTCCTTCAGACGACCTTCTCCTGCCCTTCCACTCTCAGAACCTCCTCCTCCTCCCCCTCCTCTGCCACTTCTTGTGTTCCTCCCCCTCCCACAACCTCCTCCTGCCATCTTGTGGCTCCCCCCCACCCCTTTCAGACGACCTTCTCCTGGCCTTCCACTCCCTCAACCTCCTCCCTTCCTCACGACCTCCTCTAGCAACCTCCTCCTGCTGGCATGACCTCCTTCCTTTTGTGCGACCTCATCATGGAATGATATTGATTGATTGATTCCTCTTCCTCCTTGGAGAGTCGGGCTGCGGAGAGTATGTGCAGCAATGAAGCAAACACTTCAAATTTGGAGAGTGACAACTCTCCATGCGGTGTCCAATTTCGTGGAGAGTGGAGAGTAGTGTAGCGAGACCAATGGAGCTGCATTGGCTACCTGTTCACAGGGAGTTGTGTGGTCGTGGATAGCATGCTTCAATGCTTGTCAGATCACTATGTGTCGCACTGCAAGACGAATGAGACCTGGCATGTACCACCACACAAATGCGGGCATCTTTGGCGGAAAGTCTACTTGCTTGTTTATGCCACTCGATCCTCTCTGAAATGCAGTATGGTCTCATAAAAACAAGAGGTGGATGCACCTTCATAGTTGCCCTGTGATTTTGTTTTCAACTTCTTAGAGGTGCGGATGCTACTACACGAAAGGCTTTTGGGACACGTTGCATGGGCTCAAGATTGGTCCCATCTCCTGAGAAAGAGAGCAGGACCACTTTGCCGCATGCCGGAAGGTTGAGAAGACTGTAAAATGTGTTAGCTCTTTCTAGGCGAAATACCATTCATACAACCTGGGCGGTCTGAGTTCTGCAGGCTAAACAAAAGTGCTAAGATTCCCTAAGAATGGAAAAATAATGACCTAATGCCTGGAAATGCCAAGAACGGTTTATGGCAAACAGGGCACAATGAACAGTCTCAAAGTGAAATCAGGGAATGAGAAACAGCAAATTATTTATATTGATGTACTTTCATCAGTTTCATGCCATAGATAAACATCGAATATATATGTATATGTATCAGAGCCAGTGGCGGATTGGGTTCCCATTTCTTTTCTCGATTTATGTGCGTCAGCCTTGTGCAAGGGCCATGCTAATCTTCCCTGTATCGTTCTGATTTTAACGGATGTCCGGATTGGGTTCGCATTGTGGAAGAGGACAATTGGCAGATCTGACTGGAACCTGAGCAGAACTCCTTTCCCCGAACACCACGCGCACTGAGCATTACTGCATTTGGAGTAGAAAAGAGTCTGTATACTTTTCGTAATGATGCGTGCATTATCTTTGGGATAAGAAGGCAGCAACTAGCCTCTTAGTTGCTACCTGACTGGATCTGGTAAACAACAGATATCTTGGTCACTTGCACATATTTTCAAAATCTTAGGTGAAGTTGTGGAGCTACCGTCTTCACCCGAATAAAACGCCTGGTCATTATAGGCTTTATAGCTGTATTTGGGGCAATTTGCAGACCAGATGCAGCGTTAATGACCGGGCTTTTTATTTGGGTGAAGACGGTATCAAGACTACTAGACGTGGTTCCTCTCACGTCCCAGTCAGTCAGGCTGAGTTTCGATCATTTTGTTCAAACCTGAGTTTCACTTGGCAGATTTCTTGTTTTCTTGGTAATTCATCAGATTGTCTGGTGGCCAGCTAATTTGTACGGAGTGTCGAAGTCATGCATGGGAAGACTTGATCCACATTGAAGTCCGAACTTCTCCAAAGAGCTTTTGACAAAAAGAATATGCACAACCGTACGAGTGAGGGGGTGGTGACTGCTGATCGGTAATCTGTCCATTTTTCTTCTTCTCCCCTTGCAGGTTATTACAACTTTCAACAGACTAATTGCTGATTGGTAATCGGTCCATTTTTCTCCTCCTCCCCTTGCAGGTTATTACAACTTTCAACAGACTAAGTGTTGAATGGAACCAGAGAGATGAGAGCCCGTTGATGCACGTGCATTGGTTTCGAACTATTCTGGATGAGGGTCATACTCTTGGTGCACTCTGCCCAACCAACAAGCTGCAGATGGCTGTGAACATGCATTCATCGAGGCGGTGGCTACTTACAGGGACGCCCACGCCAAATACACCTGACAGCCAAGTTGCACATTTGCAGGTCAGCCCAGCAAATGAAATCTGCAAGCTCTTATTCAAAATGTTTCAGAACTTTGAACCTCTAAGTTATTAGCATAGCATATAAGTATCTGTGCTATAGCGAAATGCTTTCCTGGGTCCTACTGGCTGTGCTTACAACACACACAGTTGGGAGGGGGGGGCGGGGGGGGTTCACTGAGCGACTGGGTACCATTGGCACTCTCCTGGCTTGGAATGCCCCCGCTCTGCCCTGCCTGTGTCGTGCGAGTGTGATTACAGCACTGGCCCCTTATTTGGCCGCCAGGGTAGGGCCTGCATATACCTCAGCCTGTATGAGGAGATTTGCTGGTTACGACAGTGCAGTCATCGGCCCAGCAAATCAAATCTGCAAGCTGGTATTTAATATTTTAGAGAACTTTGAAGCAGCTTCAAAAGTTCCGAGTATAAATATGTGTTATTGTATAGTGAAATGCTTTCCTGGCATATGCGAGCTTTGGCTCTATGAGGAGATTCGCTGGTTACGACAGTGCAGTCCTCTGTTATGCTGCTTTTTCTGCCCTAAATGAGAGAGACTGCTGCGGTATCATGATGCCCAACTAAAACCTCGCCGAAAGACTGTACTGGAAGTCCGTTTTTTTTTCGTTTTTTTTTTTTTTTTTTTAAGGGTGATCACAGTCCATTTGCTTCTTGCCGTGCCTGGGAGGATTGCCAGGAGTCCACTACTGATCTTGGATACCAGGCGCCGCTTGGGCCGACTCTGACTGCCTGGATTGCTCAGCGGCACCAGGTCCCGAATGGCAGTGTTGCATCCGCCGACGGTGGGCGGCCCTTGACTGGTCGGCTGCCGACCCACCGACCGATCGGCTGCTCGGCACCTACCAGTCGGGGGTGCTCAGCACCCCACAAAAAAAATAAAAAATTGGGGGGTCCAGAACCCCTAATAACACCACAAACACACCCATAGCGCCCCCCAATA